AAATTGTCATACCCAGCAGTTCTATTTTACAATGACTCCTACATCCTGGTTAATCATAAAATTTGATGGAAGATTCAGTTAACTATCTCTAGAAAATAGTGTAAAAATATATTCCTGTTACCAAGTCTCTTTTAATATTAAAAAAATCTCTTGGAAATAGTGATATTATTAGCATTCTTTAATAATTTACAACAACTCCAAAATATACCTGTTTCTGTAGAAAAGACTCTAAAGCTGTTATCCCAGAAACCACAGGCTAATAAAAACTGACTGTCCACTGTGGTCACAAAACTATTATATCTCATCTGAACATGTTCACTGAAGTTGTCCCCTAGATGTCTCCTGCATCCAGCCGTGTTGGTGACTAAAATACAACACAGAACCTCCATAAATGTAACTCAATGAAATATATATGCTACCATATACGTGTGGTACTAAACATGATTCTCACCTAACAAAGGATTCGTTAACAATGAAGGTAATGTTACTACCTGGTAATAAACATGATTCTCACCTAACAAAGGATTCGTTAACAATGAAGGTAATGTTACTACCTGGTACAAAACATGATTCTCACTTAACAAAGGATTCACCAACAATGAAGGTAATGTTAATAACTGGTACTAAACATGATTCTCATTTAACAAAGGATTCACCAACAATGAAGGTAATGTTACTAACTGGTACTAAACATGATTCTCACCTAACAAAGGATTCGTTAACAATGAATGTAATGTTACTAACTGGTACTAAACATGATTCTCACCTAACAAAGGATCCATTAACAATGAAGGTAATGTTACTAACTGGTACTAAACATGATTCTAACCTAACAAAGGATTCGTTAACAATGAATGTAATGTTACTACCTGGTACAAAACATGATTCTCACCTAACAAAGGATCCATTAACAATGAAGGTAATGTTACTACCTGGTACAAAACATGATTCTCACTTAACAAAGGATTCGTTAACAATGAAGGTAATGTTACTACCTGGTACAAAACATGATTCTCACTTAACAAAGGATTCACCAACAATGAAGGTAATGTTACTACCTGGTACTAAACATGATTCTCACCTAACAAAGGATCCATTAACAATGAAGGTAATGTTACTACCTGGTACAAAACATGATTCTCACCTAACAAAGGATTCGTTAACAATGAATGTAATGTTACTACCTGGTACAAAACATGATTCTCACCTAACAAAGGATTCGTTAACAATGAATGTAATGTTACTACCTGGTACAAAACATGATTCTCACCTAACAAAGGATCCATTAACAATGAAGGTAATGTTACTACCTGGTACAAAATATGATTCTCACCTAACAAAGGATCCATTAACAATGGGTAAGGTGGTTGTTGTGTAGTCTGGGGTGTGTCTGCATAATGCGTGGAGTGCAAAGACCCTAGAAAAATAAAATAAAAAATAGTTACAGAATTGAAGAAAAACAAGACAATTGTATGTTTCACAAATACATCATTTATTACGACCATGGTACTGATAGCGAAACCATGGTTTTGCCAGTAAAGGCATCATCAGGTACTGATGGCGAAACCATAGATGTAAAAAAATGGTGTATTTGTGAAATGTACAATTGTCTTGTTTTTCCTCAATTCTGTAATTATGTAGTTTCACCAAGTATCGACAGTTTCAAGTGTCAATTATAAAAAATAATTCTTACATCAGAATAAAACCATATTTTGCTTTCAACAAACACATTTAAAGATACCTAAATAAATAACACATCTGTCAGAGCAAAACAACATATTGTATAAATTTAAAAGATACCATCTTTATCTTGAACTATTAAAATTTCTAACCTGGATATAGTTCAAACAATTATAAAAATCTCTCCACTTTCCACAAAGTTACAAATGGGGTTAGTTGTTTATCTACAGGCCTTCTTGACTTGTAATTCATTAGAAAAATCTGGAAATAGCCAAATCTAAGATTCATTAAATACAAACAAATGTATACCTTGGAAATTAGGGTTCCAGCGATTCACAGCAAAGTTCTGGTTACATGTAACAGTGATGACAGATGGCTGAGGTAGCTGTGGGTATGTGTTTGTGGAAATATGACACACAGGGGAATTTGAAAGGAACTTCAGCACCATGCAAACTTCTTCTGTGATAGGAGAAAGTACTAAGGGTCGCTAAGAAATTGAAAAATAAATCAAATCACTTCTTAAATACAACAAAGAGTTACTAAACACTCCTTAAATAAAACAAAGAGTTACTAAACTCTTCTTAAAAAAAATACAGTTACTAAACTCTTCTTAAAAAAATACAGTTACTAAACACATCTAAATAAAACAGAGTTATAAAACTCTCTTTAAAAAAACAGTTACTAAACACTTCTTAAAAAATACGATAAAGTGTAGACTATAATAATATTTCCAATATGTAGTGTTAACAGTAAACTATATTCAAGATAAAGTGTAGACTATAATAATATTTCCAATATATAGTGTCAACAATAATCTAGATTCAAGATAAAGTGTAGACTATAATAATATTTCCAATATGTAGTGTCAACAGTAAACTATATTCAAGATAAAGTGTACACTGTAATAATATTTCCAATATATAGTGTCAACAATAATCTAGATTCAATATAAATTGAATCTAGATTATTGTTGACACTATATATTGGAAATATTATTACAGTCTACACTTTATCTTGAATCTAGATTATTGTTGACACTACATATTGGAAATATTATTATAGTCTACACTTTATCTTGAATCTAGATTATTGTTGACACTATATATTGGAAATATTATTACAGTCTACATTTTATCTTGAATCTAGTTTATTGTTGACACTATATATTGGAAATATTATTACAGTCTACATTTTATCTTGAATCTAGTTTACTGTTAACACTACATATTGGAAATATTATTACAGTCTACATTTTATCTTGAATCTAGATTATTGTTGACACTACATATTGGAAATATTATTAAAGCCTACACTTTATCTTGAATCTAGATTACTGTTGACACTACATATTGGAAATATTATTACAGTCTACACTTTATCTTGAATATACTTTACTGTTGACACTATATATTGGAAATATTATTAAAGTCTACACTTTATCTTGAATCTAGGTTATTGTTGATACAATGGAATCAACTCACCAAATGAACTGGTGATGAACGAGGTGGGTGTGGTTCTTGTAGCAACTGTGGGGGTATCTGGCCAAGCATACGAACCTGGTTTTCCAGGGCCTGTGAGAGAAAAATAGAATTAATTAACCATCTACATTTAGCTCTAAGTTATCAGGATCTATATATATATAAAGTAGGTTATGAACCTTCAGACTCTCTTTGTGTAGTAACTCCTTTACAACACAATCATTTCTGTCAAGATTCAAGATTTGTTTGAAAACCATTACAAAGTATACTAAATATTTCAATATCACTGTTATCCTTTGTATAACGTTCACTGATATCCAATACAGAAATAGAATATACTAAATATTTCTATACCACTGTTATCCTTTGTATAACGTTCACTGATATCCAATACAGAAATAGAATATACTAAATATTTCAATATCACTGTTATCCTGTGTATAACGTTCACTGATAGTCAACATTGAAACAGAGTATACTAATTATTTTAAAAACTATTTAATGAAAAGTTAATTTAGAAAAACAACAACAAGAAGAAAACAAAGATATTACAAAATTAAGTTTTAGTACAGAATGTATATTCACGAAATATTTAATTTTAGTTGTAACCTCTCTCATGGCCAAGTCCTTAATGTTTTCCCAATCAACTGTTCCTTCATAAGTTGTGTAGTAAAAAACGTTTGTTGCTCGTACAGCTTCAGGTCCTAACAAACATGGTGAAACAAGTAAGTAAAATAAGTATTTCCTTTAAACGTACACTCTCAATACAGTCTTATTAAAACTAATATTAATAATGAATCTTCATTAATGTTACATGTTAACAACAAGTATTACTAAAACCAATGTTAATACTGAATCTTCATTAATGTTACATGTTAACAACAAATATTACTAAAACCAATGATAATAATGAATCTTCATTAATGTTACATGTTAACAATAAATATTACTAAAACCAATGTTAATACTGAATCTTCATTAATGTTACATGTTAACAACAACTATTACTAAAACCAATGTTAATAATGAATCTTCATTAATGTTACATGTTAACAACAAGTATTACTAAAACCAATGTTAATAATGAATCTTCATTAATGTTACATGTTAACAACAGAATATTACTACAACTAATGTTAATAATGAATCTTCATTAATGTTACATGTTAACAACAAAATATTACTCAAGCCAACGTTAATACTGAATCTTCATTAATGTTACATGTTAACAACAAAATATTACTACAACTAATGATAATAATGAATCTTCATTAATGTTACATGTTAACAAAATATTACTCAAGCCAACGTTAATACTGAATCTTCATTAATGTTACATGTTAACAAGTATTACTAAAACCAATGTTAATAATGAATCTTCATTAATGTTACATGTTAACAACAAAATATTACTACAACTAATGATAATAATGAATCTTCATTAATGTTACATGTTAACAACAAAATATTACTAAAACCAATGTTAATAATGAATGTTATGTGTTAGGAACAATATTTTACTAAAATGAATATTTCTAATGAATGTTACATGTTAACAGCATCATGTTACTGAAATCATTATCTATTATAATAATACTTAGTTTTTGTGATCCTGTGTGCACTTTACTCTCTAAATGCACATGTGCACTTCATTTCAACAGATGTAAACAAAAGGCAGATCTAAATATACTTTAGTAGACATTTTGTACTAGAACATATTAAAAGCTTTTCAAAGTTTTTAAAAAATGTCTAACATTAAGTCATAGTATAACATTATAAGTTTATTTATTGATTGTATAAAGTATAGTTAAGTTTAGCCCTAAATAAACTAAAGCAAAAAACAGACTCAAGTTACAGTGTTAATTTATCTCAATATCGATTTATAAGCCATACTTAATAAAGGCTTAACTAATGTTAGGCCTAGAACAAGTAAACTTGTAGATTTCAATGTATGTGATTAGAATTCTTTCGTATATTTCTAGAAATTCTATGTTTAAAGAAGTACTGTTGCAATACAGATACTAATTTGATAGCAAATGTTTGCGAGTCTGCTAGTCACTAAAGAATATTTACTAATGCTACATGTTAACAACAACAACATCCTACCAGAGTTAATAACAATAATGAATCTTCATGCAAACAATGTCTTTCTAATATCTGGCACACACCACTAGAATTAAAACAAATTCAATTTTAAAGCATGACTAAGAAATAAATATTTTGCCGAAACATTGTTTCCTGAAATCAAGATGATGACCAGTGAGAAAACAAATTCACATTCTCCCCACTTCTTACATGACTGACCTCTCTGTTTGTAACCAAAGATCAAATCTATCCACTGATGAAGTTGACAGGAGACAAATTCAGACTCCAAAGCCTGCAAATAAACAAATACATGGTCATTTTACCAAGCAACAAGAGTTTACACCAAGTAAATGTTCAGTTACAAATCAATAAATATTACACCAAATTAACATTTGGTTACCAAGAAAGAAACATTCACAAAAAAATTAACAGTGTTCAATTACCAAAGAAGAAATGTTCACACCAAAGTAAGTGTTCGATTACCATCAAGACTAACTGAGTTACCATCAAAAAGTGTTCACACTAAAGTAAGTGTCTGATTACCATCAAAAAAGTGTCCATACTAAAGTAAGTGTTCAGTTACTATTAAGAAGTGTTTGCACAAAAGTAAGTGTTCAGTTTCTATCAAGAAGTCTTCACATCAAAGTAAGTGTTCATTTACCATCAAGTGTTAATTTGTTAGTTCACACCAAACTAACAGTGTTCAATTACCAAACAAGAAAGGTTCGCACCAAATTAACAGTGTTAAGTTATTAAGCAAGAAATATTCACACCAAACTTGCATTACTATCTGCTTTCTTAAATATCAAGCATGCTATTGTGTTTTTAATAAGGAGTTGTATTTTGGCTTGGTTGTAGTTAAGCACAGAGCTATACAATTGACTTTCTGTGTTCTTTCCAGGCCCATTAACCTGGTTATGCTGTAAAGCCCGCAAAGCATCTTTAGGCTATATCTTCATTTAATGATAAAAACCATAGTTTTTGGCTTTTCTTTATATATAGATGCTTGATACATTAAGAATGACTGAAATAATAATTTGAGTAATAATTAATAAGTATTTGTTACTTTTTAGATTTAATAGATATTTGTTGTTACTTTATCAACATTTTTACGCTTATACTGTGAGGTAAAAATGGCTGCTGCTATAATTTTGTCTGGTTTATGAGCTCGTTGCTGTCCTAATTTAGGATCTTCTTTTTAATAAATTCTTGAGAATGTTAAAAAAGAGAGAGAGAAAGGGGGCCCGGCGAGGATGTTTGCCCCAGGGCCCGTGCTGGCTCTCAGTGTTTCTGGTTCTGTCCACCATAAACAAGTGGTTGTATGATATATTCACACATCAAACTTATTACATAACATTAGTATGTATCAAAACAAATTATTTGGAATAATTCATAAATTTTTCATGACCTGTGAGACTTGCTTCTAAAGATGACTATGAGATTATTATACACAGCTTTTGCACAAAACAGTAACATTTACAATACTCAAGACCCATACAAGAACAATAAATATAAGGATTTCACTCAAAGCAAGGAGACTTCAGCAATTTTAATCTTAGAATAAACCTTCACTCATAGTGGTGCTACTGTTTAAAAATTGTTTCAAAAAATCTTGTTGCTTCTACAAATAACTGTACGTTTCTAAAAAAAATTAGATTATTAACAATACATTATTAACATAGAAACATTGTAGACAACATTAAATACCATTCTGTTGATCCTGACAAACTCTTCTGGAGAGGCAGCCCATGGTGGCAACTGGACACAGCCAGCTGGAGTTCCATTGTCCAGTTTCCCTAACTGATATCCATTCTTGTTGACAAACAGTTCAGGTAAGTAGAAGAATTCAGGAATTAACTCCTAAACAAAAACATTAGAATCAGGCTATTTAGTGTTAATTTTGTAAGGTTTTTTGATGATTGTTCGTGTTCATGACATTCTAGTTAAATATATGAAATAAATCAAAATTACCTTTTTATTTTAAAATGTCTGCATATGTTAACAGATGGTTACAAACTACTTATTCTTATGGAAAAAGCTAACAAGGTTCATTTATTTTAATTGCTTTACAGCTCCACTTAGACTCAGAATACACTGAAAGCCATTTATCGCAGCCAGATTACTTTATGTAAATAAACAATCAAGTTACGAGCACAGCATGTCATGGCTGACTTAAAATCATGTCTGCCAATGTGTGTGTCACGATATTGAGTATCATGAATATTTTTTTAATTTAATTTTTTCAACCACATTTTCTTATCTAATCTAATAATTTTCTAATGTTCACAAGAAAGTAAACAACTACAATACAGACTGACGTAATGAATTTGTACAAACCAAAGACACAAGTGCAGTTGTTATAACAAGAATTACTATTTTAAAGAAAAGATCTTTTACTCGCTATTGTTCAGGAAACCATCTTTTATCCTTAGTTTTGATAATAATTTCATTATATGCAAAAGAAAAATGCTTTATAATGTTGACCATTTTAAAATGAATAACAAATTTTGAATAAAGAAAACAAGCACTGGATTTTAACAATCAAAAAAAACCTGCTTGTAATATAGATTTTTGTTTTACACACTAACACATGGTATGAAACAGAAAGGCATTTAACCTTGATATCAGATGTGTCTCGCTGGCAGTTCTTCCAAGACAAGGCTATTGATGAAAACATTTGACTGGGACGTTCGAATTTTCCACCATGTTGAGCAAGATAGATTGTAGTGAAAGGTTCCTAAGCACAAATTAGTGTTTTCTTTCAGTAAAAACACAAAAAGATTAAGCAAGACATTATTACTTTTAATCAGTGTTCCAATGATTTACTGCTGCAAAAAACTTATCTAAAACAGTCAGTTTTAAAATCAAGGGCAGTGAACATCTTTAGCAAAAAAACTTTAAAACTCCCTTCAATCATTGACTTAAATTGTCTATAGAGAATAAATTTATTCTGTTAAAACTATTAATTTTGCAAGTAATTAATATTTAGTGACACATTAGAGCTTTAAGTAATGTTCAGTGACAAAGGATCTCTAAGTAACGTTCAGTGACAAGGGATCTCTAT